ACTGAATAATAAACTTCATTTAAAAGAAAATCAAAAAGAAAGTATTTAGTGTTTACTGGTGTCTAATATGAGCTTATTGTAATAAATATTAGCACTATAAGATGCTAGGGAAGACTGAATAATAAACTTCATTAAAAAGAAAACCGAAAAGAAGTTATTTAGTGTTTACTGGTATCTAATATGTCCTTATTGTAATAAATATTAGCACTATAAGATGCTAGGGGAGACTGAATAAAATACATCATTAAATAGAAAACAGAAAATAAAGTATTTAGTTTTTACTGGTATCTAATATGTGCTTATTGTAATAAATATTAGCACTATTAGATGCTAGGGGAGACTGAATAATAAACCTCTTTAAACAGAAAAAAGAAAAGAAAGTATTTAGTGTTTACTGGTATCTAATATGTGCTTATTGTATTAAATATTAGCACTATAAGATGCTAGGGGAGACTGAATAATAAACCACTTTAAACAGAAAAAAGAAAAGAAAGTATTTAGTGTTTACTGGTATCTAATATGTGCTTATTGTATTAAATATTAGCACTATAAGATGCTAGGGGAGACTGAATAAAATACATCATTAAACAGAAAACAGAAAATAAAGTATTTAGTTTTTACTGGTATCTAATATGTGCTTATTGTAATAAATATTAGCACTATAGGATGCTAGAGGAGACTGAATGATAAACTTCACTAAAAATAAAACCGAAAAGAAAGTATTGAGTGTTTACTGGTATCTAATATGTGCTTATTGTAATAAATATTAGCACTATAAGATGCTAGGGGAGACTGAATAATAAACTTCACTAAAAATAAAACCGAAAAGAAAGTATTGAGTGTTTACTGGTATCTAATATGTGCTTATTGTAATAAATATTAGCACTATAAGATGCTAGGGGAGACTGAATAATAAACTTCATTAAAAAGAAAACCGAAAAGAAAGTATTTAGTGTTAACTCGTATCTGATATGTGCTTATTGTAATAAATATTAGCAGTACAAGATGCTAGAAGAAACTGAATAACAAACTTCATTAAAAAAAAAGAAAAGAAAGTAATTAGTGTTTACTGGTATCTAATATGTGCTTATTGTAATAAATATTAGCACTATTAGATGCTAGTAGAGACTGAATAACAAACTTCATTAAAAAAAAAAGAAAAGAAAGTATTTAGTGTTTACTGGTATCTAATATGTGCTTATTGTAATAAATATTAGCACTATAGGATGCTAGGGGAGACTGAATAGAATACATCATTAAATAGAAAACAGAAAATAAAGTATCTAGTATGTGCTTATTGTAATATATATTAGCACTATTAGATGCTAGGGGAGACTGAATAATAAACTTTACTAAAAATAAAACCGAAAAGAAAGTATTTAGTGTTTACTTGTATCTAATATGTGCTTATTGTACTAAATATTAGCACTATTAGATGCTAGGGGAGACTGAATAATAAACTTCATTAAAAAGAAAACTGAAAAGAAAGTATTTAGTGTTAACTCGTATCTGATATGTGCTTATTGTAATAAATATTAGCACTATAAGATGCTAGGGGAGACTGAATAATAAACTTCATTAAAAAGAAAACCGAAAAGAAAGTATTTAGTGTTAACTCGTATCTGATATGTGCTTATTGTAATAAATATTAGCACTACAAGATGCTAGAAGAAACTGAATAACAAACTTCATTAAAAAAAAAGAAAAGAAAGTATTGAGTGTTTACTGGTATCTAATATGTGCTTATTGTAATAAATATTAGCACTATTAGATGCTAGTAGAGACTGAATAACAAACTTCATTAAAAAAAAAGAAAAGAAAGTATTTAGTGTTTACTGGTATCTAATATGTGATTATTGTAATAAATATTAGCACTATAAGATGCTAGAAGAAATTAAATAGCAAACTTCATTAAAAAAAAGAAAAGAAAGTATTTAGTGTTTACTGGTATCTAATATGTGCTTATTGTAATAAATATTAGCACTATTAGATGCTAGTAGAGACTGAATAATAAACTTCATTATAAAAAAAAGAAAGTATTTAGTGTTTACTGGTATCTAATATGTACTTATTGTAATAAATATTAGCACTATAAGATGCTAGAAGAAACTAGATAGCAAACTTCATTAAAAAAATGAAAAGAAAGTATTTAGTGTTTACTGGTATCTAATATGTGCTTATTGTAATAAATATTAGCACTATTAGATGCTAGTAGAGACTGAATAATAAACTTCATTATAAAAAAAAGAAAGTATTTAGTGTTTACTGGTATCTAATATGTACTTATTGTAATAAATATTAGCACTATAAGATGCTAAAAGAAACCGAATAACAAACTTCATTAAAAAAAAAAGAAAAGAAAGTATTTAGTGTTTACTTGTATCTAATATGTGCTTATTGTAATAAATATTAGCACTATTAGATGCTAGTATAGACTGATTATCAAACTTCATTAAAAAGAAAACAGAAACGAAAGTATTTAGAAATTTTTTTATTTCTTTGTGTCTCAAAAACAAAATTATAGTTTTTTAAGGATCGTTTACGCTGTGAACGTGACAAAATCACGACTTCAAAATCTTCACCTTGTTTATGGTTGGCGGTATTTTGAATGTCCGAGTTTTTTTTCGCCTTCACTGACCATTCTGTAGTGAAAAGTGTAAGCTGTACCGGACAGCAGGGCCGAGTCCGGTCCGAGTACGGTTCACTTGAAGCGGGCCAATTTTTATGGATTTGTAAACGCGGCTACAGACATCGTTAAAATGATATTCAAGACAATATTTCATTAGAAAGTATCTATTTTTTGCTGAATATGTAAGAAAGAGTTGCTGATGTCAAACAAAACCATTTATACGATGGCATCAAGTGTTCTAGAAAGCAAGACCTGCCACAATATCGTTTATGGCGAAACTCGTATTTTAAGTTGCACCCAGGAGCTTGCAGAATGACCTTAAGGACACATTTGTCTCCCAGCAGAATTATTGACATACTGGTTGAAAAAATATGCAAAATGTACTGTACAGGATATGGGGATATTCTGAGAACGATGTCGAGTTGACAAGCCCCGTGACAGGAATGACCTCGGGGACAGTTGTTGTTACCCCAATAAATGCCGAAACTAAGATCTTAAGCTAAATATTTCAGAGACACGTTTGTTGCAATTATTGTTTTATTTTTTCAATTAGAAATTCATAAGAGCAGAAAATAACGGAATACAACATCATTTATCGTTTTTTCAAAACAAGTATTAAACAGATTAAAGTTAAATCTTTCACCACAACAGAGAACTTTTGAATAATAACACCTCTTAACCCAGTAAAATGTAAATTTCACATGAATGACTGAACATCTTTTAAAATGTAACGCAATAATGTCTA